TGATTGTTTAGTTAGTATTTTATTTTGAGAGAAATTGTACCATAAATAAAAAATCAAACGGAACAATTTTTTTCAAACTGACAAAGTAACTAGAAACCCATAATCCAAAATGAAATGAAAACAAAAACAATCTTCTTAATAAATAACCGTGCCAGAAAAAGGAAAAAAAGAAATGCACACAATAATCTGAGCAATTATTGAGCATTTGTCAGTATATCATGATTCCTGCAATATTTCATTCTGATAATAAAACCCACAGAAGTACTGTCTTTGTCAAGCAATTGCAGGGTTTCTCTGCCATATATACACCAATTCAAGTTCATTTCCAATATGCATGATTACTTTTGGTGCATGCGCCTTAAATTTCTTCTTTTTTATGTATACGCTAAAATTAAATTGTCAATGGTAATTGATTATCATAACAGAACGAATGATGAATGATGTCCTTAAAAATGTGTACGATGTTATCTGATCCTTTTTTTTTCCCCCTCAGAAGTACTTATGTTAATTATGAAAATTGATTGTTCCTCTTTTCTGCTTTGTGAGTCAGGAGCTTCTGATACGAGGTGGCAGCTATATGGAAAAGGTAATAAATGGAAGATGAACAGTGAAAATTTTTGCAGGCTTTTAATTATTAATTCCTCTTTCTAGTTTTTCCGTGAATGTTATTTTTGTGATATAAGATTTTGTTGACTATACAAAAATGAAATGTGGATGCCTTAGAGTTACGTATACCCGAAATTATGACCTTATATATTTGAAAAATGGGACGTGCGGTGCTATAATCTAATTTAAACTTTGAAGCCATAAAAGGTTTAAGAGCTCTAGCTTCAAATCTGATTCTGTGGACGGAAAATATACTCTTTTCGATATAATTCTCACTCGATTTGGGAAAAAGAAAACGGTGTTTTAAGGTTTTAATACTCAAAAAGTATCGAACAGAAATGAATATAAAACGTGCCTCCAGCATGACAATGTCAAACAAAAATAATATAAGCTGAGATCTAAGTAACGTTCAATGAGAAAAACTGATCAGTAGTTCGCAAAGTTTGCGGTGATCTTCCATTTTGTTTTCAGGAATCGGCATTATACGTTATTGAAATATTTCAACTTTTTTTTTTATATTTTAAACTCAACTATTTTGAATTTTCACTTTCCAATATACGTTACGACGTTGTTCAACACCACCACGACGGTTATCGATTGCATTCAGAGTTTTTGTTACAGGTGACATGAGTTTTTTAATCCTTAGCCGTTTAGACTAAAAACCAACTAGTAGAATTACAAAAAAAAAAAAAACACAAACGAAAAGAGCAAATTAAGATTAATCCTGAAATACATAAATATATGACCAATTAATTGGCAAGTGGCCCAATACTTATGGAAAAAATTTTGCCTCTTAAAACGACCTGATTCGAATGATTAGTTTGTATATATATGAATCAGTTTGAGATTATTTTCATGATTCATTTCCTTAAAAGAAATAAAAGGAAACATAACTGATTTTGTTTGTTGTTCTTATGGTATCAGTATAGCTTCTGCAGTTTTAATGAAATTTTGTACACACTGAATAATATTTTTCGTCAACAATATGTTGCATTTGTTATGTTATTGCACGTATCAGTTATCTAAAGCATTTCTCAATTTTAAGTGTCCGTAAATACATAATAATTGAACGTCACGTTTAAAACGATAGCAAAATAATAGTGAAATATTAAAATTTTCACTTACCATATAGTACATAGTAAAACGAGATCATCTTATTTCAATTAAAGTAATCTTATACATAAGACGCATCAACCCGTATTATTACATACGTAACGTAATTAATATAAAATAAGTGAGACAGAACGTTTCAATTGACAACAAAAGGAACTGCAAAGTAGTACTAGTCGTGGTAAGCTATGATACAGCTATATAAGTAAGATATAAAAAATACGTTTTTTGAAGTCGAAAAATCTATAACGTTTGGGAATGATAGCAGATGAGATCAGCTCCATCCTTTTTTCAAATATCGGTTGTCTTCAACTAGACGGTACCGTCTCTCCATATAGGAATTTTTTTTTTTTCATAATAACGAAATATCAATTTCCTTAAAAAGAATAGAACATAGAGTCAATGATGTGGATGGCTCGAGCACCTTGCATGTTGATCTTTCTTAATTTCTCATCGCATCATTATAGCTTTTGCATTAAAGAATTTTGGGACATGGATGATGATGCAACTCTATAACTCCTTATTGTCCCAATATATGCCCTTCTCGTTCGAGAAAAATAACCAATCTTATTGTATAGTCTTAATTCAGCAAAATACATAGATTATTTTTTAAGACGAAGTAATTATCTTCTTCTCTTTTTAATATCCTCAAAAGAAATGATAAAAAGATTTCTTTCGTTTTGAAATGATTGTCCTTTTTATTGTTTTAAATAATATAACAAAAAAGATTATTAAAAAAAGAATAATATAACAAAAATATATTACAAAAAAGTAGAGCGACCATTGTCCAAAGGAGAACGCCCCTAAATAATATACTCACATTTATAGATTTTGTTTTACTTTAATTGGTTAAAGAAATTGCACGATATTGGAGTTCTTGATTGCAACTTTGAATTACTTTTTCTAGTTTGAGGAAAATAATTCATTTTGCTATAATGTTCTGATTTAACAAAATGAATTAGTTTTGTATGACAGGAGGAGGAGTATCAATCAATAATCGAGGTTGGATAATAGGAAAAGAAAATGTAAAATATAATGCATTTGCGGCTTCATTCTGTCTGATTGTGGAAACAATAACTTTATATTCAGGCCTTCATTTCCAACCAACGATTTTATTATAACAGTAAGAATAAAAGGCTTTTTCTCAAAACATTGAAATTAATAACACAGAGAAGTCAAAAGATAATTCTTAATTAATTCTCAGCTCATAAATTTAGTTTAGAATAATTAATTAAGTTATGAACGTTTTCCTCCCAAGATGCAATCAACAAACGGAAACTCTCCTTTTGAATATATACCATGTATCAGTTTTCGTGTAACTGCATGTAACGGTTCTTACAACTTTATGCACACAATTAAAATATGACATGTAGATTATTTGTGTATAGTTTTCATCCACAATTATTACTTTCAATATCTAAATCTTATTGCTAGAGTCTAGCTTATGTTGATAAACTAATGGGTTAAGAATTATCTTCGCAAATAAATTAGTACGTCTACTTCTTTTCTCTAGTCAATGACATTTTTCAAATAAATGAAAGCACGATAAGAGTTCTATTAATTGTTCGTCAAAGTACGTAGCATGAGTGGCATGTGAAGGGAAAAAGAAAATTCACAAAACATTTGTTAAACTTATCTTAAATCCAAATCTAATTACGGATAGGATCAATTCATCCAGAAAAGGAGATTGTAGCCATGTCCCTTCCGTTTTTCTAATTTGTATATGATAAACTTCAGTAAAAGAATAAGTTACCCATTTTACTTATTTTCACAGCTAATTTCAAATTATTACGTAGTATGTTTTAAATTTCGCATCTCTTTCGAGAAATTGCTAGCGATACAATTGAATTTTGGATCAATAAGAGTTGTTAAATGATATATGGTGAATAACTGAATGAGTTAGTTTTCTACTCCCTCCGTCCCAAAATTATTTGTCCAGTTTGAGACTTCATTTTTAGTACAATTTGAACTAGAAATGAGAACTCAAAATGGATAATAATTATGGGATGGAGGGAATATCTAATTATTCATTACTCAAAATAAAATGTCAAAGATAAAGTACGTAGTTTATTCACATCATCAACTATAGCCTTTGTTGAAGAGACCGTATGATGTACAGCATTGTATAATATAGAAAATAAGGTAAGCTACTCACACCATAACCAGAAAAGTAATAATCATGTCATTCAAAAAAATTTTGATACTTTTTCTCAGTGGAAATAGTAAATCGCTAGACATTTTTTTTTTTAAAAAAAAAGATAAAAATCAAGATCAAGCCCATAATATCTGAACTGGAATCAAGATTAAAAATCACCCCAGAAAATTGACGAAATTTTGCTACTTCAATTAAATTTTCTCAAAGTATCTAAGATAAAATAACGTTTATGAATAAATTAATTTTCCTGCCTATGTTTACCACTTTTATTTTCGCTTCACTTTCTCATCATTTTACCTTAATTACCCTTTAAATAACATTTTCGCTTATTTCTCCGATGATGTTCGTATTAATTATCGCAGTACACAGTACTAAACTATCATGACAGTCGATTGTAAATTAGATTGATCATTATGTGCCATGAATATAGAATAGATACATGCTCATTTATTGACAAACATTGTTTTAATTACTAGAGGACAAAGATATTAAAACGCTATCAAAATATTGTTGCATCTGATCAAATTTATTTCCCTTGTTAATTACTGTGTGTACTAGTTAGAATCAACCAAGAACATTGTCTTTCTACTTCTTCCCTCCCAAAATAGCAATCTTCTTTTTTTTTTTTTCAGTATATTAATTTGTTATCTGAAACCATTGACCCAACTAATTCAAATTGAAACATGTTAGATTCTCCCAACAGGTAATTAAGCGAAAAAAAAATTATACTTGCTGAGTTTTTTTTTTATTTATTATTACTATAGATTTCAGTTCAACTTAGTAAAAAAATATTCATTTATTCTAATAAGGAGACGGAGTCATGTTTTTTGAACTTTCTGTCAGTTATTCTAGTATGAAACGTACAAATAAACCTTGCTTTCTATAAGATTATATATTGCTTTCAATTATTAACTAATAAAATGTGATTGTTAGTACAAGAAGTCAGACAAAAGATCTGTTATAGTATTTATGATGGGGATGATTTGAATTTACCAATAATGAAACTAGCTAGTTACACACTTCCACATAATGTACTCCAATCTCTATCTAGTAGGAACAGCAAAAGCCTCAAAATCTATATAATTTGTAAGAGGGTGATGGGCAGGGAACTCTATTGGAATAGAACTAGCTACAACAAATCAAGCAAAGCCTGCAAAACTACAGTAAATGCATTTTTCTTCATCTTAAAAGTAGTAGTACTACTTCTCTTCTCATAAAAAGAAAGAGATCATAGCCCTTAGCTTTCATCACCCAAAAAAACCTCATTTCTGGTCCCCCACTCTAAATAAGACCTCTCTTCTTCTTCATCATCTTCTATTTCTCCTCTCCTCTCCCCTCATTCATATAGTAATCCTCAAAAACCCTCTTAAAAAATTGAGCTATGATTCACTTCTTTTCTTGATTTTCCTCACCTGATTTTTCTTTTTGTGACCAAAATTTGGTTGACAGGTAGCATAAGATTAAAAGGGTTGCCTTAAATTTTGTCCAAAACTAAATTGATCATGGATCATATTAACCCTCAAAAACTCCAAAACCTTCCTTGGGATGTTTCCATGGCAATGGAAGATCTATGGCCTAACTTTGGCTTTGAAAACCACCACATTCATATTCCGTCTTCTTCTTCTTCAATACCTTCCTCAACATCATCATCAGCAGCAGCTATTAATAATCACATCTCTGATTATCAGATAACAACAAACCAGCATCATCTTCATCATCATCAAGCTGCTGGAGAACGGCAAGAAGATCAATCGGAAGAAGGGCTCGAAGAGCAAGATGAGGAAGAACTAGGTGCCATGAAGGAAATGATGTTCAGAATCGCCGCAATGCAGCCGGTGGACATCGATCCGGCCACGATACGCAAGCCGAAGAGGCGAAACGTTCGCATTAGCGATGACCCTCAGAGCGTCGCGGCCAGGCATCGCCGGGAGCGGATCAGCGAAAAGATCCGAATCCTACAAAGGCTTGTTCCGGGTGGGACTAAGATGGACACGGCTTCTATGTTGGATGAAGCCATTCGTTATGTTAAGTTCTTGAAACGACAAATTCGCCAACTCCAAGCTAATAGTAGTAGTATTAGTATTAACAGCAACAACAACAACAACAATAATATTCCGGCATCATTTGCCGGCATAATTCCGGCATGTAACCCTACTTGGACATCTACAATGGCTGCCATTTCATCATCAAACAGGACCACCACCGCTACAGCCACTGGAAACTCGTCGGTTTTTGGGGTATTTCAACCATGAGGTAATCGGTGATTAATTAATGAGAAAAAAGGGATTATTGTAACGCTTTCTCAACTGAAGTAAGTTTGGTGTATATTTTTAAGCATTATTATTGGTGACGTTTTTGTGCCAATTGGCATAAGGTTTCTAAAAATTGTTATATTAGGGAGAAGAAGGAGAAACAAAAAGGGAAAAAATGCCATGTGATTCCAAGAAATGTTTGTTAGGATTTTTTTGTTGACTCAAGTGGGACAATAGAATAATACATAACGGTTATGATTATACCCCCTTGAGTTGTTCATCATCCGTGTTTTCTATCTTTTATAAAAATAAATATATGGTTTTGTTATTTGGTCTTCATTGGAAAGTTCGTCTGTCCGGATTCTATACCGGGAACTGAAACGAGTGACGAAGACTGAAAATAAAACCATTGAATATGATTACATCCTTAATGTGATGCGTATGCGTGTAGTACTGTGTGTGTGCGTGCGTTTTTTTTTGGGTGGAAAAGAACAAAATAAGACTACTTGGCCCGCAGCTTGCATTCATCATCAACGTGTGCCTTGTATGCCTTGTTTAATTTTGTCCATTTTCTTGCTGTTTTTGTGGGTTTCTTTTTTGTTTTTATGTTTTTTCCCCTTTTGGTTTGTTTTGTTTGAACAGATGATGAGCAAAGAGAGACTCAGAAAAGTTTACAGGAACTAATGGCGTTTTAATAGTCCTAGATGAATCATAGATCAATCTCTACACTATGATTCTCTCACAAACCCTAGAGTTTTTTGAACTACTGGGAATATTGTGAAACTTTTTTCCTTCTTCTCATTTTTCCGATTCAAAACAACCTTATCCCTAATTGGAAGTGTGTTCAGAGATGACAGAAATGGGAGTATCAAGCCTTTTAAATTTTTCTTTGCTTAAAATAAAACCTTTTAAGTTAATATTGAAGTGAAGATGATATTTGTAAATGAAATCAATGGCATCCATGTTTTTTAGGAAACAAGAACTTTAATTCACGAATTGAAAGATGAAGGATTTTGCTACACCACCAAAGAGAAAAGTTCATCTAGCTTCCTAGAGATGTATAATCTGTTTATCATCGCTTTCTTTTGATTTCTGGATTAAGTTTAGCTAATGTGTATACAGTATATATATCATTGTTACTCGGAAAAGTATGCCAGCAAGCTTGATTAGGCAATGTTTTTGGAGTTTTACCTTGCGCGAGATGCAAAACTTTATCTTTGCCATTGACTGATATATTTGATGCCAAGGGCTTTCATGTTTTAGAACCAATTTCTCAACCTTTCTATTAACGCCATTGAAAATCTGCAATGGTAAACAACTGCACATAGCGCACAACAGTTAATAGAACATTTCTTCCATGTAGCGCGGACTTTGGTCCACATTTTTATTATTCCAAGATGATTATAGTTCTTTGTATTTCTGCCTTCCAGGTTTTATAGTATAGTTACCTAAATAGGAGTTTAAAATCGATATATGTGCCTATTAATTCTTGAATAACCGGATTTAACTTTTTCTTTTAGATCCACCAGATCACTATTTCCGTCTAAGTAGAAATTATTTTAAGTGTTTCGAATATCTATTGTATCAATCAGTCTACTGTAGAATTTCCACAAATTTTACTTTTCTCTAGCTACCGTTGAATGCAATAAGAAATTTCAGATAATTATTGTGCCAATGCCATAATATATAAACCATGACAATAAAAACAAAAAAACAAAAAGAGAAGTGAGAAGTCCTCTAAATTAAAGATTAGTCCAAGTGTAACAACATCACTAAAGTGAAGGATTTAAAGGGTCAACACGTTTCCCAAGTAATTTTCTTGGGCATATGAATGAATCAAGGATTAATGGTTGTAGAAAAAACAAATCCAACTCGGTTTGATCCGAGAACATCCAGAAACTTTCTGGTTTGATCAAAATTCCGCAGTTCGTGTTGGCTCTCCCCACCGAATGATGAGAGGCCTGGGAGTCCACTTCTGCGGTGGACCTCTCGACATTTATATTTAAACTGGTCATAGCCCTAGCGGGTAATCACGGTTTCATGATCCAGTGTTAAGAAAAGTCATGACTTGAAATGCGATGATGTCGATATCTTCTATATCACATATGGTACCAACTTAAAAACAAACGAAAGGGTTCTTTCTTTTTTCTCTTGGATTAAGATCTATTCTTTTTTTTTTTTTTAAAGATTCACTTGTTAATAATTAAAAAAAAAAGGGTTACATATTCCTTCTACAAATGGAAATTTTAAATGGTTGAAAAAGGGAGGAACTTAGCAGCCAAATTAACTAGAATTAAGAATTGTCTTATATTGTATCAAAGAATGAGAATTCCAATTGTATACATAAACATTATTAGAGTCAAATGTAATATTGATGAGTGTCAAACAAAGCATGTTTTAGGAAACATAATGTGCCTTTTTATACTTAGTTTTAAGTCAATTAGATTAGAATTTTATGTTTATAGAATAATTTAGTGACTTTTGGTGATCCAAGGACTTAATTACAAAATCAGTAAAAAAGTGGTCAAGATATGACAAAATGGTGAAGTTCTGGGCGAAATTGAAAGTGGCTTAATGGACTGAAATGCAAGGGTAGAAGATGGCAGAATCCGATGGGAAGAATAGCTGATTTGAAGGCCAAGTTGGACCAAGACTTCAAAGCTAAAGAAGAAGAGAATGTGAACAAGTGATGCTGCTGACAAGGGAAGAGATTGATGTGCCTTAAAATTGAATTAGAGCAACTAAATCCCATAAAAAAAGATGATTAGATGTAAGGGGGGAAGTTGGAGAAGTATGGGTCTCCTCTCTTTTGCTTAACCCATTGGGTAAAGAGGAGACTAACATGGCTAAGCAAGATTACCCCCTCCCCCCCCCAACCTCTATATAAACCAGCAGCAGCAGAAGAAGAAGAACAACAAGAGTTAGAACGATAGAAGTTAGAGTTAGCTTAGTGAGTTAGGTGAGAAACAAAGCAGAAGTCTGAGAAACAGACTCAGGGGTGTACTTTGGAGAAGTGAGAAGCTGACTCTGCGCACAGTTTACCATACTCCCTGACTTTTTCCTTCCCCTGTTTCCTACCATTTCTGCTGTAGCTATGAGGAAGTCTAAATACTTAGATTCAGCGGTTTTTGAGATTCTCTCCATGTGTAGGTAAACTCCGTAGATGTCTAATCCCTCTACTCCATATAAGTATGTTTTGATTCAGCTCTTGGATGATACTTGTGTGCTTAGTCTTAGAGTTATCATTATCCTATTAGTTGAATTGGCCATTTAAACTAATTGTGCTTGCATGTTAAAGGAAATGTGAGAGGGTAAACTTAACTTAGAACGTCTAAGATTCATCGGTGACAAGGAGGTAACAGCCTAAGGTTTCAAACAACGAGAGTTAGTTGTTTGACACAAGGCAATCATAAGAGCTTAGTAACTTAATGGCTCCGTAGTATTCTGGAGTTAACAGCGAGAGTTAGTAGGCTTTTTGCTGCTAGGACTGCTGTTTAGAATAAGGAGAGTGACCTTATAGTGTTATTGTGCCTGATTGAATACAATTTCTTACAACATAGAGAGCTAAAGAATCATTACATATGCTTGTAGAGTAGAGAGGAGGACAACCCAAGGCTTCCATCACTTTGTCAAGTTATAAACTCACTTGCCAATATTTTAATTTTTTTCATACATTGCACTCTTGCACTGGAACCCAATTTTCATCAGTTGTTTCCCGTCTCTGCGGGATTGACCCTTCTTATCACTTACCCCAAGTTTGAAGTATGTTTTTTTTGTGGTCTCGACACCCATCAAAAGTGGCGCCGTTGCCGGGGACGGCATAAAACATCTTTTGGAAATTGGTTACTATTCATTACTTTCATGCATTGTTTTCTTAGCCGTTAACTTAAAAATCAAAACCCCTTCGCTTTTGTTACTTATTACCTATTGGTTCTTGATTTCTTGTATACGACAAGAAGTAATCCCCCTGAGGAATTCTTCTTTGACCCAAAAGTTGAAGCCACTTCCAGGAGAATCAGACACTCAGACGTGAGTACGTCATTGCTGAAGCTAAGGAGGAGTTTGCTGAAACCATAGAAGCCTTAGCTGAAGAAGAAATGAGAAATAATAGTGGAGCTACAATACAACCAGCTCAACCCCCGATTGTTGAGAGATTACTTTATCCCTCAACATGAGGAGGTTCAGTCACCATTAGTATTTCAAGATGTGGAGGCTGACAACTTTGAGCTCAAATCAAACATGATTCAATAGGTTCAAGCAGTTTGTCCATTTCATGGTCTACCATCTAAAGACCCCAATGATCATCTACGAACCTTTTTAAGGTTTTGTAGTACATTCAAGTTCCAGGGATTATCTCATGATGACATTAAACTGAGATTGTTCCCATTCACCCTTCAAGATCAAGCTGAGACGTGGTTGAATTATCTTGCCAAAAACTCCATTACAAGCTGGCAGGAATTAAGGAAACCATTCATAACTAAGTTTTTCCCACAATCTAAAGCAGCCCATTTTAGAATTGCAATCATGACGTTCCAGCAACATCCTGATGAGACATTATCTGAGTCTTGGAAAAGATTCAAGGAGCTACTGAGAAAATGTCCACAACATGGGATTGAGGATCATATTTAGACATTTTCTATAATGGTTTAACTCAGTCCTCAAGAAATTCCCTTGATTTCTCTGCTGGTAGAGCATTCATGATGAAAAATGTGGGAGAAGCAACCTAGGTGCTGGAGAACATGGCTACCAAAAACTACAGATGGCAATCAGATCCCAGAGCTCTTTCCAAGAAGGCCGACGTGTTTGAAGTAGATACAACAACTCATATGCAAGTCCAACTCTCACAAATCTTGAACCAGATGGCCAAAGTAGAAGCTCGTATGGCTAAGTCACAAGACCGGGACAAGTCATGCTCTGATCCATATAAGATTGATGACTGCCCTGAGTTGATGGAGTCAGCTCATTTGGTTCGTCAGAACAATGCTGGAGGTTCCAATCCTTACAACAACTGGAGAGGGAAGCAGGCAACTGGAATAGCAATCAGTAACAACGCGGCTACCAAAGGCTTGACCAACCACCTGGTTTCCAAAAACCAGAGTGGAGTTTAAAAAAAAAGTGATGTGGTTGATATAAAGACACTGCTCAAGGCTTTACAAGCCAACCAACGACAATTTGAAGCTGTGTATAGCAAGGCCCACAGGAGTAAGCCAAGGTAGTATCATTTCACAGTGGTAAGAAACTCACTTCCACAAGTGAAATTCCAATCCAAGCACCTACAAAAGAGCCGAGGAAGCTGAAGATATCATCGACCTTACTACAGAGAAAGAAGAAGCAGCGGATCCTAAGGGCCATTCCACAACAGTACCAGCACCCCCTACTCAACAGCAGCCTGATGTTCCAACAACCCCTTATCCACTTAGGCAAGCTAGGAAGAAGACTTCAGACATTGCAATCAACAGATTAATGAACAAATGGAGAGCTTACACATCAACAATCCATTGATTGATGCTCTAAAACAAATGCCAAAGTATTGCAAGCACCTGAAGGAGTTAGTCTCAAGCGAGCCAAGGATTCACGATTCATCATTCATAACTTTGAATGAGGAGTGCAGTGCAGCCATTCTGAAGAAGCTCAAGGAACCAGGGAGTTTCACTATTCCCTATACTGTTGGTAACACTAAATTTAAGAAAGTTTTGCTAGATCTAGGAGCAAGCATTAACTTGATGTCTTTATCTGTTTTTAATGCACTTGGAGTCAGTGATATTCTTGTGCCAACTAACATTACCTTACAGCTAGGTGATAGATCCCTGACCTATTCAAAGGGCATATTGAATGAAATTTTGGTAAAAGTTCGATCATTTATTTATCCAGCGGAATTTGCTGTCTTGGATATGGAAGAGGATAAGGATGTCCCAATCATTTTGGGCAGACCTTGCTTAGCAATCTGTGATGATATCATAGAAGGAAGGGAGCTGTCACTTTGCAGTTTGATGGAGAACAGGTAATGTTCAACATCTTCAGCGGCATGAAATTCCTTCTGCAATTCTGCACGGAAGTCCTATAAACCCTCCTTAGAAGAACCACCAACTCTGGAGTTGAAGCCACTCCCAACCCATCTCAAATATGTGTACTTTGGGAGCAACAACACTTGCCCGTTATCATCTTAGCATCACTGAGTGA